GTTTGTGTCTCCTTTTCATCTCCCTGTGAATATGAAATGGAGAAGAGGGAAATCACTGTCATAGCAGCCGTTACAGCACAGAGCCTCCTGATTGCATTCTGGACTCTTGACATCCTTTTTTTTTCTTTCTTTTTTTTTTTTTTTTCCTTACAGGGAAACCACACAGTGTTGCACAGCGTGACTGACTCCTTGCCTGATTGCCCAACAAGCTCCTCCCCCCCCCCACACTCCCCATATTTTTAAAACCAACTCCAACTCGGTCCTTTTGCGTTCAGACGGGTCATATTTATTGCAGTGATTCTAAGAAAGCCAATCCAACATAGCTTTGTAATGGAGAATAATACTACTTTGTCATCGTGACTCATTGTGCTTCGAAGATGATCAGCTAGAATGTTGTGTCTTTAAAACTATCCGGTCATTTTGCATTAACCCAGATATCATTTTTCCTTTTTTAGGTCTTTTTAGACGTCACAACAGCACAGTAAGCGGCACTTTCAAGTTACTGGACAGCAATAAAGATGGCAGGTAACTAACGCACTTCATTAAAATGAAAACCTTGGTGGCTCCAGTTGTCATGCTCATGTTCGGCCCTTTGCTAACCCATTTAAATGACTCATGACACTACGACAACCCTCCAAAGTCTATTCATGTGTCATGTGTCAGCCTTCAAATCTTAATAAGAGCGGAAACATTTTGTATTAAAAACAGTGTTGGCACACATCTTCAGATATAAGGAGCCACTGATTTTTTATTTATTTTTTTGAACCAACCCCTGATATTTTTCTACTGAAACGTTTCCCCCTGGGATTCTACTCTTGCCAGGGTGAAAAGGTTTCTGTCACAGTATTGAGATTGCTATGAAATCCAATACTAAAGAAATTCCTAAAGCATATTTGCTCTCAGTTTAGGCTCTTCTCCTCCTACTGTGCAGTTTAAAATATGTACCAGAGTGCTTGAAGGCTGGGGAGTGTGAAAAAATAAAAGAGAGAACAAGGGTTGAAGGTTTCCAATTTTTGCTTTATATTTCAGTGGTACCGTTTTTCTATCAAATGATCTACTGTCCTCGAACAGTGTGCTTCTCCCACAAACGGTGTAGTTTAGCCATTGGATACTAAAATGAGCAAGGTTTGTTGATGAATATATCTGACTTAAATAATATTGTAAGAGCGAACCTTCTTTTGAGGCTGTTTCTTGAGTTTCACACCAATGTGTGTATACGCACAACACTCAATGGTTCCACCTTAACTTGTGAGGCAGTGAATGCTCATCAGTCTGAGCCGAGTGCACACGTCGCATTCCTTGAAACTTCTACACCCGTTTGTTCCTCAGCAAACCTCAAAAAGCAATGCATTGCCTCATTGCATTGCTTGAGTCCCAACAGACCCACTTGTTGTCGTCGCCCCCTACCCCGATCTCCCAGCTGACTCACTCGCTGTCGTGAGCAGTGTTTAACCTCTGCCGGCATTAAAGACAATGGCATCCATTTTGCCTCCGAGCTGAGATGCTTCCATTTGCTGGTGGCTTGCAGAAAAGCAGAGCGCGTCAATACTGCTTAAGCTAACCAGGCATATTCTCCTAGAAAGGAGGCAGGGCTGGGCATAGTAAACTGAAAGCACTATAAAACACATGGCTGCATTGAGGTCGAAGTGCTTGTGCAGCGATTTTTTTTTTTTTTTCAGGGAGCGCCATGTGCCTACTTATGCATTCCCGCGCCTGGATGTGTACCATCATTCAGCCCGTTTCCCTCCATCCATCCACTCTATCGGCTCCATCCCAAGCTGCGTCTCTCCGCGGGGGGATGCGCTTTAAACAAACGCATTACTAGTGTGGAAATATCTGCAAGTGTCGCTTATTTCCACACGGCCATTATTTCAGTCCGTCAGTCGATGGGATTCCGCGAGCTGTGCCATCTTGAGGCACGACGTGTATTGATGCCCATTCTGACTAACGCAGGAGGCGGAGGCTTTGTATACGTTTGCTACATCGCCATTTTTTTTTTTTTCTTTTTTTTTTTTTTTTGTAAGGCGCCGCAGCTCACACGCCCCAAGTGTCAAGCTTGATTTAGTTGCCGTTATGATAAATGCCAAGTCCAAAGTCACCGGTATACCTGATGCGTGCACATTTCCAGGCAATTTGCTGACATTGAACCGGATTAGCATGCACATTGCAGACTCTTTATCTTGTACAAACAAAAAAAAGCTCTTGGCTTTGTCCCTAATGACACTTAGCAAAACACTACCCCGTTCTTAATCCACTCGATTGGAATTGCTAATTATCTTTAATGCAGATTCACAGATAATGGTTCTCCCATTCATACTGTGAGCTAATCTCATTTTTGTGTCTATTTAGCCACCAATAATTGCTTTTTTTTCATGAAGTTGTGAATCCACTCTGAAATACATGAAGGAAGATGTCACACTTTTTTTTCCTAATCTAGAACATCTAGTTGGCAAAGGTTCGTCTGAAACTTTCTATCAGTTTGTACTATTGGGGGGGGGACCTCCCTCACACATTGGTCATTAAGGCAGCTTGTGGACTTCCTCGCCATTTTTTCATCCCAAACCTTCCCAAGCGCGCCACACACACAAGTGCAAGCCACTGTGCCTGCTGGCAGGCAGTTGGCAGCCCAGTGCAGGATTAACTGGTACCAGTATGCCGGCCTATAAATAGAGTCTACCAACTGCTTCAGGAAATGAACCGTGATGGAGCCTCCCAAAGGCCCCGCAAACAGGTTGTGCTTTTTATCCCCTCGTCCCTGTCAGGATTATAAGTGTATACGTGTGGAAGAGTGACTTTCCCCTCCTGTTTATTACTGTCTCTTTCCAGTCGAACCCCCTATAGGTGTGCGATGCCAAGCACCTCCTTCTTTTAAGATGCCATGATCTATATGTGTATAAATGCCCCCTGTGATTGTTTCCCTTTTAGAGGCCTCTGCTCTGCAGCCCTCTGCGCCGCCTCACAATAGAGAGAGCCATTGTTTTTCTCCAGCACTTACCCCGAGCATCGATCCTCTGTAGTGGAACAAGCTATTCGCTTTGTATGTTACACCGCACTTCCGCTTTTGATGGACTCCCGGGATTGATCCTGCCCATGCAGTCGTTATCTCGGCTCAATAATGTTGGTTTAGGTGGAACCTCGGGAAGAACGACCCCAGCAGGAAAGTGTGGCTTTAGAAAAGATCTAAAGTGTCCCAGGATAAAAGGTGGCGTGTATGATTTTTGATTGTGCTTTGTGTTGCGTTGAGTTGTCCGCCATGTGGAGGGAAATAGGCTGAACGGACGGGGAAACTGACAAAAGCCCAAACTTCCCTAAAGAATGAGCTCACCCAAAAAGTACAGTGTTCAACTTACCCTCGTATCGGCTGAAACACCAGTAACGATTGTTTGCATTTCACAATATCTAGTGAGTTCAGCTGGTGCTGCTTTATTCTGACACATGCAGAGGAGAATAGAAGTCCTGACTGGTCCATCGATGGCTCCAAACAGCTCGTGCTCCATAGTCCATGTTCTGTGAAGCTAAAAGATCCAAAAGTACAATATTTTATTATTGTTTTTCCTTTGTTGCAAAGCTCACGTCCACCTACGACACGTCTAGTTGACATGTTTTGCTAGAATAGATGCATTGTTAACAAGTTGTTTGTGTTCGCTGCAGCGGGGAAGGCATTGACATGTTCATAGCAACCAATCATGAGACTAAGACGCTGCTGTTATCTGTTGTTTTTTGTACACAACAGTATAACGGTGGATGAAGTCCAGGCTAAAGTGGTACTTGTCCACGATGAAGAGCGGGTTCTCTCTGAGGATGAAGCAATGGTAAGTTGTCTTTTGTTCATACGGTTTATACTACAATGCTGCTGAGGGGGTGCAAGGGGGCTATGGCCTTCACTGAGGTTGTGTAATCAGGCCCGACATTGAAGTACTTGGTTTCTCTGAGAAAAACAAGTGTGTTGCAAGGTTTTTGTGGTATACGGTGTATCATCTAAGTACATTGGTATGCAGCATGTCTATTGGAGTAGATTTCCTTTAAAGGATAAGGAAGGCTTTTATTCTAATAGTGCACTTTTCTACGCATTAATAAAGTCAGTGTACAAATGAGTATTCACCATCAATACATACCAGACGTGTATGAACTGAATCTAATGTAAATACTTTAAGATATCCAATATTTACCATATCCTGAAGTCGCTTAATTCAGCATTTTTTTTTTTCAGATTTGCCCCAAAACAAGCTGATGCACATTTTCATCTGCCTCGCCTTCTCTGTGGTTTTTGTGTCTTGCTTGCGTTGGCTGTCTGTCTGCCGGGTTGACTGTTTTCCTCCACTCATACAACAGGGTCCCTTCCAAATTCATTTGGATTCTGAACAAGACGAGCACAGTTTCCCCAACAGTGGTTTCCCCTCAAGCTGCAGCGTGTGAGAATGCGGCTGTCGGTTTCACTTTAAACTCGTCGAGCGTCCCTCTTACCAGGCAGCACATATCAAAATCTCTGGCTGTAAACAAAATGGCTAGAGCTCAATTTTTCCGCTTCTTATCGCTGTTCCTATTTCTAATATAAATGGCAATTGATATGCGCAGTTGGGTTCTCCTACTGCAGGGCAGGAAAAGTTCAGTTTGTGAGTGTTGTATGTTATGTGTGTATGTAACAGAAAAATGTGAAGCCGCACCAAAGCTGTAAGCAACACGACAGACTGCCGGATGATAAAAAAAACAACTAAATCTGTGTTCATTTGTTATTTCTGCTGGCTAACGCGAAGACACGCCTAATGAATTCAACTGCATCCGAAGCAGATGAGTCGGTATGAATATGCGTGGGTGTGAAAACGTGCACTTAACTGCAACCACAACAAACGGCGATCAAGCCGGGCAAATGAAACGGGGCGCCATTGACAGTAGTTAACATGTAATTTGCATTAGAACTCACGAGAGGCCCCGTGTTGGCACCTTAATCAAGGTCCAAGGGCAGCAGCAGCAGTCGTGCCATATGAGAAGTTAATTCTGTGCACTGGGAGGGGTTTAGAGAAACACTTTTGCTCTATTACTGTCTATTAACTCTTTGCCATCACCTCCCGTGCATTTCTGTTTTCTGACGACTTTAACGTTGCAGTCGCGTTGCTGTACAGCAGGTGCGTACCCCGAATCTGTTCAGGTTGATAAGAAAAATAACTAAGTTATTGAAAATAGAACCGTATTCTGCCGTCACACCTTTTTATTAGCCCCCCCCCCCCTTTCCTGCTTTTTCCTTTCTCTTAAGAAGCTTTTGGCCGCCACAGGAAAAAATGTAGTTTCCACTTCAGCAACCCAGATAATTCAAGAGCAGAGAGGGTTTTCATGAGAACAATTTGATGATCAAAGGAAGGCGCTCCGTTCGGGAGGGATATTCTGATGTCTCTCCCTCAGTGTTCCATCATTACGTTATAGCGCCTTCATTCCTGTAGAAACCACCGTTAATGTAGATTCAAGTTTATTCACTTTCAGAAGGTAATCACGGGTATTCGAGAAGAATGTCTTGTCTGGCAAATTGCACCATTATTGTTGAGTTGTCTCCGTTTTAAACACGGCACAGAAGACCCGAACGGATATTATTTCAATACTCAAACTGAAGCATTTGCACTAAATTAGCTCTCGCAAAGGGAGGACTGTCCTCCCCTTTGTCAGTAACTACAGTACAATCCACTCTCGGGAGCGCTGATGGGTGACCGAGCTCGGACTATAACTATGTGCTGGTGAACAGAGCTCGAGGAAATTGCCTTCTTCTCAAGAAATGGGCATTTGTGCCGTGGTGAAATTCACTTATCCATCCACTACCCACTCGCCTCCCTTCAAAGCCCCTTAATCAGTGGACCAGAAACCTAGAGTACACTGAATATAGTTCTTCCTTTTTGAGCAGGAGAATAAAATCAGAAGTCAAGCTTTCTGGTGTTCAAGCATCTTTTGGTGGTAGAGGGCAAAGATGGATGAAAAAACAACATTGCCGTAGGTGCATGGGAGGTTGGGAACTCCCTTTAACAGCTTGAGTGTGTGTATGCAAATCTGGCTTTTTTTTCACTGTTTGATAACATTTGCTGCACCCCAGGGGTTCCAAAAGATGAGCTGTCATTAGTTGGTAACGAGGCCGAGAGGAAGAGAGCAGAGACGAGTGTAGTGGTGCACGGACAAAGGGAATAACTAGCTTCAAGAAATCCTGTATGGTAATAGCGCTCCATATTCAAATTCAGTGCTTGATGGAAAAAGAAACGGCTTTGAAGTAGTTTTATTCTCGTTCAGGCTGGTTAGATGTCTACGTACCGTAATCTGTAAACTAGTGTGACGTAAAAGCGGTGTGTGTTTCAGAGTTTTGTACAGAGTAGTTGACGAAACCGTTACTTTTCGTATGGATTTTAGTAGCTGTTCTAGAGCTTTTGACCATATCGCATGATCTTCACCAGCAGATGGAGTTGTCATGGAATTGTACATGTTAAAATCTCCAATTTAAGGAGATTGAAATTGAGAATGAGCTTTGAAACTCAGACTACTTTAAACAATTTTGACGATCAAGTAGGCATTTTAAAGTTACGATAACAAAGATCTCTGCTTTGTTCTCTTTGGTGGCTTCAAGCGGTAACTGCAGATATATTTTGGGCTTTCACTTCCCAGAGAATGACGTAAAAAACAATATAATAATCTAGAAGGAAGTTGTCTAAATACTTCCCCGAACATGATTACAGTAAACAACAACCTTCCCTATACCACTCATCCATCTCTGACATGTGTCTGTCGTAGTGAGTGACGGATTGGCGGCGTCACAAGGAGCCAGAAAGCACCCGCGAAGCAGGCAGGCCAGACGTTCACCTTTCGTTCACACTGAGCTCTCGTGATGTTCACAACATCCACCGATACACAGAAAACAAACACCACACCCCCCCCTAGTCGCTCGGCCCGGCTCCTCACACCATCTGTTTGGGCTGCTTGACATTTGGCCTTAGCCACCACTGAAATCTCACTTCAGAGGGTCACCAGCATGTATATCAAGAGGGGCAGATTTTTAACATTTTTTTAATCCCAAAGGTAAGAATAAGATCTTTACTGAATGAGTTAGATTTTAGTGATATTGAATCAGTGTGTAGGCTTTTAAAGTGTTATAAAGTGTTTAAAGTCAAACCCCAGTATAATGGGGTTTGACTTCTCGCACAATACTGCACATTAACTGTCCATTTCATCTGGAGTCCAGATTGTAACCATGACTGTAACTGTTGCACATTTCATCAACCCAAAAACACTGCAAGGTTGTAATTGAATTCACAGCCACATGAACTGGAAGGCTGGCGTTGCAGCACATCTCCAGAAGGGGGCAGCAGGCATCTGAGCTGAGTGTGAGCTAATGGGGGGGGGGGGGGGGGGGGG